AAAGAAAGAAAGAAAGAAAGAAGGAAGGAAGGAAGGAAGGAAGGAAGGAAGGAAAGGTATTCACTGCCCCTTAACCACTACTACAACTGTACAACTAACTACTACTACTAACAACTACTAATTACTTAAACGTAAAAGTTAAACTAGGTGAAGTCATTAAAATCTTATCATTAACATGTTATCATTAACATTTAAAACGGTTTGCGTCTGTTAAAAGGCTTTGTTATTCATTTCAAATGATTTCACTTATTATTATTATTTATTTAGACTGTTTATGAAACATTTAAACATCTTTTTCCAAGATAAAATAGGAGACAGAATATCTTTACTCATTTTTACTTCGTGATTTGACATGATTTGTCTTTTGCGTTGTGCAGACCAATAAAAACTGTTACCAAAACTGTAATTTACCACTTACAAAGAGACACATTAATTCTAGTTTTCCTTATTACTTATTCCTTATGTAAATAAGGGTTTTTTCATTTATACACATTAAGAAGTGTTTACTTTTTATTAAACACACTCTGAGTGGAGTGTCACTATTTATTCTAAATGAAACAATGCTTTTAGAGCAACAATTCACAATTCAGTCAGGATTTTCTGCCAAAAGAAAGAAAGAAAGGTAAGAAGGAAGGAAGGAAGCAAGGAAGCAAGGAAGCAAGGAAAGAAGGAAAGAAGGAGAGAAGGAAAGAAGGAAAGAAGGAAGGAAGCAAGGAAGCAAAGAAAGAAAGAAAGAAAGAAAGAAAGAAAGAAAGAAAGAAAGAAAGAAAGAAAGAAAGAAAGAAAGAAGGAAGGAAGGAAGGAAGGAAGGAAGGAAGGAAAGGTATTCACTGCCCCTTAACCACTACTACTACTGTACAACTAACTACTACTACTAACAACTACTAATTACTACTTAAACGTAAAAGTTAAACTAGGTGAAGTCATTCACATCATTTAAAACGGTTTGCGTCTGTTAAAAGGCTTCGTTATTCATTTCAAATGATTTCACTTTTTAATCCAAAAAATATCAGTGTATTTTCAGATTTTTCAATCATGATTAATCATGATCACAATTAATATTTTCTTTATATTGCTGGAACAGAAAAACAAATAAGAACATGTGGATGTCTGTGTTTCACACCTATATATTCTGTAATGTAAAGGGTAGACAAATATACATGCATTTTATACATGACATATATTAATATTCTATATATACATATGTGTATATATGTATACATATGTTTATAGATATTTATGCATTATGCCAATACAAGCAGCATTGCTGCTTGTATTGGCCTGTGTGGGTACAACACCTCTAAACTGCCATCTACACAACGTAAACTCTTTTAGAAAATATTTCCCTTGCCTTGAGTTTACCTCAGATGCAGCTTTGCTCCAGGCCCACATACTGTGCTCCTTATGCATCTGTACTGAACACAGTTCTAGGGTTTCCCTTCAGTTGTTCCCACATGACTCATGACTCTACACAGAAACACAGAGGCAGAAGACACCTCTGCTGATGCACATTCCGCCTCCACACCCCTGCTCTCCTCCACCAGTATTTTCCCTTCACACTGACACAGAAATGTGTATATTTACCTGTAATTATCTGTTTTAGTGAAAAGGAGCCTGACACTGAACTGCTTCTCTTTTCTTTCCTTTTTTCGCTCTCTTTATGTCCCGCCCACCTACTCTGCTATTTCTTCCGTCACTTCTTTACATTGCTGCTTCTTCCTCTGCTTTGATTGCTCTTACCCACAGGAACTTCCGGAAGCATCTACGGATGGTGGGCAGCAGAAGGATGAAAGCACAGAGTGAGTCAGATAGATGTGTGTGTGTGTGTGTGTGTGTGTGTGTATGTTACTGTGATGTTGATCATTCAGATTTATTTATTTTATCATTCCTTTTTTTGGTCAGTGGTGTTTCCTGCATGGCACAGAGACAGAGAGAGGGAGAGAGAGAGAGAGAGAGATTTATCTTGGCTAATGTTTTGTGAAATATTGCTGTAATTTTTTTTTGTTTGTCTTCATCAGAGTGTGTTGTTAAAGCCAGTCTTCGGAGTATGTGTGTGAGTGTGTATGTGAGTCGTACAGTGGTTGGTTCTTTCTTGCCATATTTTAGCCAGAGTGTGGACGACGATTTGAGAAACATTCATATCATGTGGACTGGTAGCAGTGGACGTATGTCTGAGTGAGTGAAAATGTCACTGCAAATACTACAGAAAAAGCAGGAAAAATGTTTACACATATACAGCCAATAGTCAAAGTCAGCTTTATACAAAGGAATCAAAATTACATTTTTCACTGTCCCATGCGTAGACAGGACAACATTTATGTGCACAGGCCCAACAAATAGAACGTAAATGTGGCAGCTTGTCAAATGCTGTTGTCGTTTTCTATTGGAAACAATTGATTGTTTTGTTTTGGGGTTTTTTTTAGCTGTAAGTGCAACATCACTCAGTAGCTCGGCTGTAGTGTCACCCATGGATACAGATAACACTAAGGACAGGGGGGGAAAGAACCTCGTGGGTTTCACAGTGACCCTGATCCTCACACTCACATTCTCACCTATGCTCTGTTCTGCGATCTTGTCATCCATAGAGGGAACATACAATCCCTGAGAGACCATCAAGTACAACAAGGGATTGAACCAGCGACCTTCTAGCTTTATGGCAGTGGTTCAGAAAAAAGTTCTTAATGTCACCAATTTGTAGATAGGACTATTATTGAGCCTCCCTCTTCAGTACATTCTCAATAATTGCTTTAAAATATTGACTGGACTATTAAACAATTTAAATAAAATATGAATCTGTACATTACCACTAGGAATATATGATTAGTCCTGTTCTAATCCACATAGGCGTTGTAGACCAATTCAGTCATGTGAGTCAAACATGGACTATGCTAACCAGTAGAACAACTTAGCATACAACTGTGCTTCTCAATTAGTTTCCGGCAACCCCCCCTCTTGGGGACAGAAATGTTTTCATGCACCCCCCACCTCTCCCCGACCCACACCCCCGCGATATGAAATACTATCGAGAACCTGATAACACGTATATTGTTATCTGTACAAACCACTGTATGAGTTGCTGCCACCTAGTGACTGGAGGCTTGTTATCATTCAAGCATTACAGCAATGGTACAATTATGTCCAGCATGCCATTTCCCATTGGAAGCCTCTCATGCCCCTCCTGGCACTTACTTACCCTAGTTTGAATGGATACCAGATACAACATGTAACCGATTATTATCGCATTCCCAAAGATATCGTCTTAGCACTGGAGACATTTAGTAAAAGCCTCTTTTTTTTTGTCATATTGTTTCACACGTCTTGACAATCCCTGCTGGTAGTAGTGACTCATTTCTTCTTCTACTAATTTCTTTTTCTCGCCCCAGTGAGGGGCTTTGTCGGAACTGTAATGATCAGAGTATACGACTGCAGGGTTTGTGATGTTTGACTCTGCTATAAGACGTTATTAAAACATGTGCTCCAGTTATAAAATATCCATTTCCCAACAACTGTAGATGTTCTGCACATGTGGGTCTTTCAGGTTGCCCACCCAAATATTTGTAATAGAGCTAAGGTCAAGACTGCACTGGGCTGGGTTTGAGCAGACCAATCAATTTAGAGCAAAGACCATGTCGTGAAGATATTATTTACTAGCATTAGCATTAGTATTCCATAAATATAATGTACATATTTAAAGCATAGAATAAAAAATAAAAACAGAAGTCTCTCTGTTTTCCTGTATTTGGCTTCTACAAGAAAAAGGAAATATTTCCCCCTGCAGTGAAACTGCCCCCTGTCTCTATTTTCCCTTTTTCTATATTGTTTTTTGCATGTGTTAAGGACATTTCTGGTCATGAATATTTAGCAATGACAAAATAAAAATCAACTATTGCTAGCGGCGGCGATGGAACTCAAAAGACTCAAATTAAAGTTTTTCTATTGGTTACTTAAAACACTGACACTTCAGATCATTGGGTGCTCAAAGCTATAATATTTGTTATAGTGATATAGTGAGAGGATAATGAAACCAGACCTTGTTCTGATTAACCTTTGACCTCAGATTCTGTACTTTTACCCCACACATATTATTTAAATTTTGACTTATTTACAGGATTATATTCCCATATCACAACTTATGTGATCATAAAGAAACCTGAATGTACTGAGGCCTTCAGATTGTGTAGAGCACCACCTTGTGGGGAAGAAGCTACGTGCTCTGTGTTTAAATGCTGATTCAACTCTCCCAGACATAAGTATCTGAAAAGTACAGATTCACTGTATTGGTTGTTAAATGTAACCCCCGAGTCGTGTGTCTTGAAAAGTTGGGAGTACTTTAGTCTAATAAGTACAACTCAACTTGCACTCCACCAAAACCTTATTTGAGCTTCATTATAAAAAGACTTAACTTAGATTAAACTTTTTTTCGAATAAACCTGACACTGACCCTAACTGTGGTGATCCATGTAAGGATAGCGCCCCACTGTTTGGAAAACACTAATTGACAGTGTATGTTGTAGAGCTGACTGTTAGTGTACTGTAGTGTATGTGTCTGTCCGAAAGCTTCTCTCTTGTGTAGATGGATGGCTTGTATGTGCAGTATTTGTTCACCAGTAGCTGCATCCGCTTCCTTCTCCTTTGTGGTTTTGTCGGTATGTGTATCGATATGAAGCCAGTTTGGGAGCTTGTTAGTCAGTGTGTGTGTGCATGTGTGTGTGACGATTTCTCCCCCACTTGCAGTAGCATTTGCTGAGCGTAGATCCAAGAGTTTCAGCCGTTCCTGGAGTGACCCCACCCCTGTCAAGACTGACCCTCCTCATGAATCTAAAGACAGTGAGTTGTTATGGAGCAGCACACCAACACGTAAAAGTCACACATCTGCACACAACAAACACACTGTACATATCAACACAAACTTCAACACTGGTGACGAAAATATCACAGCAGAAGGTACAACCACTGGAAAAAGGATGGAGGAGGAATTCAACTATTGTGCTTGTTTTTTGGCTAACTTTTAGCTCTCATCTTGCTGTTACCTTAATATCCTTTAGCTTCTTCCTCTTAGTCGTGCTCCCATTAGTGTTAGCTACAACAGATCAAATGCCCCCACTTCAATCAATGTTCCCCCCCTTTATGACCTCCTTTTATAATAATTTTTAATAATTTATAATATATATTTTAGCTTTTTTCATCAATTCACTAACCCTTACTAATTGTTTTAGTTAACTTCTAACTCATTATTATTTTACCTCAAATGTTTTTTTCTGCACTACCTTTCTATATATAGTCAACTTTGTCATTTGTCAGTATATTATTTTTGTAAACATTTACTGTAGTAATTTTTCTCTGTATCCCTAAACCATATTTTATATTTGTAACTTCATTTTTTTCTGTTTTTATTTGGATCATTGGCTTCTTTTTGTTATGCTAAAATTCATAGCATATCATCACTTGGCCTCTGCACTTATTTCAATCTTACTGACTGTTGCTAAACTTTAAAATGACCTTTTAGCTATTGTATTGTCTGACTTTTGGCTATGCTAGCTCACCTTTATCCACATCTGTCTAACCTTTGGACAGGTTCATTTAAAGCTCTTATCTTAACTAAACCATATGTGGCTAACCTTTGGCTAATTTAAGAGTTATCTGTTTTTTGTTTGTTCATTTGTTTGTTTGTTTTTTGAAGGGGTGGTTTAAACAATATTTGGTCACTACAGTATGTAGCAATTAGCCTTAACCTTGAATATTTTATCTATAATTGGTTGTACTAGCTGTACATTCTGGAGGTTTTCTGCTAATATTGACTAATTTCTCAATGCTATTCATTAACACTAACTTTAAGTAGAATAGTATACTGAACCATACATGGCTAAATACATGATAGCTGCATACGCTATAGCAGTTATAGGATATTTTCCAAACAAGTTTGCACTAGTGACATGTACTGTGAAAAGATATTTTATTCAGAAGCAGCCAGACAAAGTGTAAAGTGTAAAGTTTTGTACCAAGTGCAGCAGCAGCTCTTTTTTAAAGATCCACTATAAGTAGTGTGCGTTTGGCCATAAATTACTAATGTGCACCCCTGTGTCCTCACATCGTCACAGGCAGATTTATTACAACTGAAGCCTGCTTCGTGCTCCTGTCGTGCAGTTGGTATTAATTGATTTTTATACACAAGTGGCTCATAAGGAGCTGGAAGCCACTGTGGCGGTTGACAGCCATTTAAAAGGTTTGTTATTAACGAGCTTGAGCCAATTTATAGTAACGACGACGAGGCCACTTTTACATCGCAGGCTAAGGAAGGACAATCATTGGGATCTGGCCGGAATATCAGTGAGTGCAGAATGACAGCCGAGCTGTTTTTATTTCATTAGTGTTAATAGAGTTTTCGGGTGTGAGATCACAGGAGGACAAGAAAGATAACGATATTTTGTGTAGCTGAAGCCGGATTGATTCACATTAGAGGAAACGTGATCGTCTGTCGGCTGCTGCTCTAAGGTTAGCAAAGCCAGCGTGGTACAGATATTTTTCATTGTAGTTTTTCCCACGATTAAATATGTTTTGTGGCTACCGTTAAACTTTCTATTTTAAATAGCGCTATTTGAGCTAAATTTCTTCGGTTAATTCCTTTGGCCCATTTTAGCCACATTGGCAATTTCTGTGATGTGAATTTTCAGATTTCTTTTGACAAATGCTTATTAATTTTGGCTCAGCGTTACCTATTAAGCTTTTTATTCAGAACTAACCTGTTACTTCATCAAAGTTAGTGCTATCTGTCGCTAACATCAGTGATTGCTGTTGTTTTCTTATTTTTTATTTAGCTAAGTCTATAAACACAACATTTCTGAATGTCTACCACTTAAGATTACATTTTATATATAAAAAACATGGCTAACACATGGCAGTTGTGTGAGCTACAGAAGCCTTTTTGTATGTCTGAACAAATGTCTGAACATGTTTTGTTGGTTTTTTTCCATTATATGTCAGTGGACTAATTTTTGTTTTGAAGTTAAAATTCAATATTTCTCACATGACTTTTCATAAATTAAATTAACTGGAAAATGAAAGAATAACAAAACAATTCTTTCAATAATGTACAAACATAAATATGCAAAAACTAAAAAGAATATTTCAGAGAAGTTCCAGATTTTAAGAATAAACTCATTAATTGCGGAGGTTCTCTGTTTCAACTGCAGCATGTACTTCGAATACAGTTACAGTTACTACATATTAGGTGGCGTTTGTGTGACCTTTACTGTTACTTCAAGTCTACACTACATGCTGTCTTCACAGCTTCACTACTCACTTCCTGTTTAAACACATCCAGAAACTGTCACTGATCATCCACTGACACTTGAACACGCAACACCATCATTCACACACACACACACACACTGACACACGTACTGTTGGCTCTGACCTTGTCCATCTGTCCCCCCCCCCTTTGACCGTGGGTCTTTCTCCAACTGTGTGACACTCAGTCGTTCTGTGAGTACGTCTCTAAAGCTGTAGTGTCCATGTCCCCCAGTCTGAGTGCGTCTGGTGGTGTGATCAACTTAACCACGTGTAAAATGAGTGTGTGTCATGTTGGGCTTTAAACACACTCTGTTCTTCTCTGCATGATGCTGTTTGTCTGTGTCGCTGTCTGAGTTTGTGGTTTTGTGTTTTGATTTTTTACACCGTGACTCCACATTGAGTGTTTTTGTGTATCAGTGTGTAAGACGGAGATTGAACTAAACTGTCTGACAATGTTTCTCAGTCATTTCATTCACTCCTTATCATGTTTCCCCCCCTCTATATACACCAGATTTTCAGATTTTCCACATGTTAATTTTTCAAAGGAATTTTTAAATAAAAATTGAAAATGATTAAAAATAGAAATGCTTTGTTCATCTCCTCAAGATAATAGCTAACATTTAGCTATTCCTCAAGATGTCCTGCTACACAACATTTGAATCCTTTTTACTGATAAATCTTCTTTTGTGTGTGAAACATTTCTGCAGTTGACCTTAACTAATCAATCACCTGCTCCTTTTCTTATCAGTCACCAGTTGCCATGATGACAAGGATAGTACGACTTTATGCCAAATAGAAGCTTCTCTTATGTGTACATTAGCTCGCCTTGTATCTTGTATCTCGTCATCACACCTCTTATTATTAAATGCCAAAAACCCTGTTCCCACGCCCACTCTCACTTATATTTCCCGGCCTCTGTCACCTGCCTCGGCTCTTCTCTGCCTCCATCTGTCAGTTTCTCATGTCATCGTAATTATCATCGGCTCCATCTGTTTTTCCTTTCTCTCTCTCCTCCATCACCCGGACTCATCCCTTCCTCCAGTCACTCATTTCTCATCTTCCTTGTCACCTTTCCGTCCTCCCACTCCATCCCAAACTCTCGTGCCTACACACTGTTATCTTCAAGTCATTTTCCGCTCTGCTGTGTTGTACTGTCCAGGCGGTGACCTGCAGACCTCCTGTGGAACTTTGGATGAAGGAGGCCTTCGTGAAACACTGGACTGGGAGGAGGAGAGAGAGATGGAGCGACTCGCCTGCGAAGGAGATGATTTTATACCTCCTAAAATTATGGTAGGATATAAAACCCACTATAAAACACTTTATTATCTAAATAAAATAAAATATCTCATAGCTGTACATTTTAGTTTATGCATTCATCTGGTAAAGGTTTAGCATAACTGATATTTCAATTTTTTTTAATTAAATTTTGGATACAGTGTCTAATAAAACTTAGAGATTGAAACTTTATTTCCTTTGACTACAGTCCAATTTCAATAATTACTAGATAAAGAACTAAACAAAGAATGACTGGTTTATTTGTGCCCCTGTATGTCAATGATCTGAGCTCTCCACTAAGAAAATTGATCATAAATACGTAAATTATTTTATAAACAAATTTTGCCAAAAAAAAAAAAAAGAATAAAGAATACAGGGTCCTCAGCTAACTTAAGTTCCATTATCAGAACTCACATACTGTACGTAAGTACCTATGTCATTCACCTAAAGTGACACAGTGGTGACATCATGATCAAGGACACCAAAACATCAGAAGAATCTGACCTACCCCTGGGAGCCATAATGAAAGGCAAAAAGTTCCCAAAAACCAACACAAATGAAAGAAAGCAAGTGTAGTATGGTCCAATGTATGGCATACAACCGGTGAATGTAAACAAAGATGTCGTTTGCATATAGGGGCCAATGCCAACTAGTTCCCATGCACAATTTGCTTTAACACTGTACATCAGAATGATGGATCAAGGCTTCCTAAGAAATTCATAGGAGATGGCAACGTAACCATGAAACATCGTAGGTTGAGGATGTTATAAACCGAGGTCCCCCGTATCCCAAAATCCCTAGTATGTGTTTACCAAGACAAGACTGTAAGAGCTGTAACAGTGCTACAATTACCCACAATATTTATAAATAATTTACTTTTAAAAAGTATAGAATAGAGTCAAAAGAACCAGCCAGACAAGCAGACAGTGAGGAGCTAGCAAACCAATGTTAGCCCATGTTAGCCAAATATGCTACCATTTGTCTAAGATGACCAAAGGTTTTACTGTGATTTAAGCAAACTAGCAAATTAATAAACACTTAAATAATGAAGCAAAATTAGCAACGGTTAGCAAAACACTTGACACGCAATGTGAGGAAGCAAAAAGAAGACAGCATGAATCACCTTTCTTTTTTTTTTCTTGTTCTTGGACCTCATGTAACGTTGTTTCTTGCACAATAAGACTGTCTTTTTGAAAAAGTCTGTACTACCAGGTTGGATAGAGTTTGTTCTTTTTCTGATCTTTTCCTGGCTTTGCTCCACTTTTCTCACATCCCTCTGAACCATCTGTTTCTCTGTTCCTGTGTTTCTCCTTCACCTCCAGCTGATCTCCTCTAAGGTCCCTAAGGCAGAGTATGTTCCCACCATAATCCGCAGGGATGACCCCTCCATCATCCCCATCCTCTATGTGAGTCTAACACAATAGATGGGTTTCTGGGAAACAACAAATGATAGTCCAATGGTACATGGCCGTAAAAGTACAGGGTACAGGGTAGAAGTTATATCTAATAAAATGCATTGATTAATAATTTCATAACATTGTAGCAACAGACAACCATTCACACTCACATTCACACCTACAGTCAGTTAAGAGCAAACAGTCAACCTAAACCTCACACCCTTTAGGGACGACACACAAACTCCACACACCACCTTGTAGCCCAACAGCAGACCAGAGGCTTGTAAACGCAAATATATTATCCGCCAGCCACTCAGTTTATACAGACCTTAAGACCACAGTGAGCATCAAAGGGAAGGGTTTACCCAGAGGGACTCTATAGTCACTGTTACAGATAGAGAAACCACCAATCACTCAGGTACCATAACAAAAAGTCCAAATTATGATTTGCACACATTACCAAAATAGGACAACATTTTTAATTTAGGTCAAGCTAAAGTTGTGGTGGGCCACATAAAATGATGTGACGGCCCACATTCGGCCCATGGACCATGAGTGTACAGTAGATAATGTATGAATGGATTTTAAATATCTGCTTGTAAATAATTAGTGGTTGTATACATGTTGTTAAAATTGTATTCCATGTTTGATCTCCCTCCACCGCCCCGCCCCTCAGGACCATGAACATGCTACATTTGATGATATTTTAGGTGAGTATTCTTTTGTATGTATATTTTCTATTTATTTAGTTTTCAGCATTTTGCTGTATACTGTTTATTGAAACAGTAGTTATTAACATCAAATACACATTAATTAAATAAATGAAGTGTTACTGTACTCACCCCTGGTGCTCAGTCAGAGCCATGGTTTGAATCCCCAATCTTCAGATCAAATCTCGAGGCCACAGGCTGAAATATACATTTTAAATTTGTTGTGTTAATTAATCAGATACATGATTGATAAAAAAAAATGTGTTAAAATCATAGCAAATATAATGATAATTATAAGCAGGAGCAAAGAGAACGACATCATCCACATCAGTAACATCCTTGCTTTAAATAGAAAAAGGTGGTGAACGCCGACACGTGCATTGAGGATCATGAACTGTACAGAACTTTGCCTGAGGAGTGAAATGTGAACTCTCAATCAAATTAAATGTCAGAAAAAAACATAGCTACAGGCATGAAGGTGTATACACATGCTCCCTGATATCAAAGTCAACGTGGAATAAACTCCCAAAAGTAATTGAAAGGATGTAAAAAAAAAAAAAAATCATCACAGACTCTCTCTCTCATGCTTCCTGGAATATAAATTCCACTAAACCGCATGTTCTGTTAATTTACCTGTTTTTTTTTTCATCGCTGTTTGCCCCCTAGAGAGTTCTCCTTTGTTCCCGTTCTCATCAATGCTAACCCTTTGTCTCTCTCAGAGGAAATAGAGAAGAAGCTCACAGCCTACAGACGAGGAAGCAAGTTCTGGAGGATGCTCATCTTCTGTCAGGTGAGAAATGAGAAGCCAGTGGGGGAGAGTGTTACTGACTTACATCTAAACTTCTGGTATCCTAATTAGAAGGAGAGAAGTCATCTGTTGTACAAATGTGTTTAAACCCTGGCTGTGTCTGTGTGTGTGTGTTTCTCAGGGAGGCCCCGGTCACCTGTATTTACTGAAGAACAAAGTGGCGACGTTCGCAAAAGTTGAGAAGGAAGAAGACATGAGCCAGTGAGTAAAAGATTATAATCTGAGATATAATCACAGGTATTAGAAATTACATATCTGGGTTTTTTTTTCTCTCCCTTTTTTCAGGTTCTGGAAGAGGCTCAGTCGCTTTATGAGTAAAGTCAACCCAGAACCAAACCTCATCCACATAATGGGATGTTATGTCCTTGGCAACCCTAACGGAGAAAAGGTATAAAGTGGTGTTTTTCAATCTTAGGGTTGGGACCCTATGTAGGGTCACCTGAAATGTCTAGTAATTGATAAAAAAAAAAATCACTGATATTTTTTCCAATTAATGTTCTTTTTAAACGTATGATTAAAACCACCACACATAATATTAAACTTCTGTATCATTTACTTTTATGAATATGAATTGAGGTCAAATAAAACGCATCATATACAAATATCTGTGATCATCTGACTGCACAGGTGACAGCTACTAAAATGACTCTTGGGTCAGCAGAAATGTGAAATGTGTGATGTCACACAGGGTCACAAGCCAAAAATGGATGGAAACAACTAGTTTAAAGACACTACTTCACTTTCTGCACCAACGTTAGGAAATCCTAACAATTCTGACATTAAGTTTGCAGATTGGTCAGTGATGAGGAGGTTGTTAATAAGTAAAGTATAATTGGCCAGTAAATCACTTTCTATTACTGTACATCACAAGTTTCATTTCAATTTATGAGAGACTCTAAATCATTTTTCTTTGTGCAACACAAACAGTTTAATTACCAGAGAGGTTTCCAGTCCCTCCTGTTAGCGCGGCGTGTCTGTTTCCATCTCTGTTTGACTGATAAGCAGCTCATGGTCCTCCTGCCGTTCTCCTCCACCGCTCCTGCGACCATGATTTCACATTTAGCCATGCTGCTGCATGTAGCTGTGGGGCACACGTGTGAGAAGAAGCTCTGTACTTAGCAATGATACATTACAATAACAAAATAACCCCTGACCATGCTGTGAAAACACAATACAGTAAACCCTTGTTTTTCGCGGGGGTTACGTTCCAAAAAGAACCCGTGATAGGCAAAATCCGTGAAGTAGAAATCTTTATTTTTTTTACAATTAAATACTCAGAAAAAGAAGAGAAAGAACGAACAAACCATTTTACAGTCTCAACCATTTGTTTCACAAATAAAGTAAAATAAAAGTACTTTAGAAACGTTTCAACAAATAACTTATGTAATGTACTGTCAAATAATAATTTTAATCATCAACGTGAACAGAAGGCTTCAAATTGCGGAGATTAGCACCGCCCACCGTGAACGGGAGAAAATTAAAAATGATTATGAAAAAAATACAAATTACCTGGTCTTGTTGCGGGCAGTTGCAACCCTTTTTGAATCCTTATTAAAACTTATTGCTGCTGTCTTCCTTATGTTTTTTTCTTCCTTCTTTATGGAACGAACGGAAGATTCATTAATTCCATAATGCCGACCTACAGCCGCATAGCTTTTACCTTCATTTAGCATGTCCAATAGTTTTACTTTATCACCGATAGACAGCATCTTCCGCTGCCTTTTGGTCCCTACCGCAGGTACTTTTGCCGGTCCAGAGCGTTTTGTCGACATTATGGGGTTTGATAAACTCGAAATTGCAAGAGAATTTGCACGTACGTATTGTCAATTTGGCAAGCTGTTTTACGTATGTGTACATATTAAACCGCAACGTTCTTGGCGCACAGGTAGAGAAGAAGCGGAGTGACTTTTTAGCCAATCAGAATGCAGAACACAATGCACGATGCAAATCCGTGAAGTAGCGAAACCGTGAAAAGTAAACCGCGTTATAGCAAGGGATCACTGTAGTATGGAAAAAAATGCAATCTCACAGAAGCCGACAGACACACAAGCTGCGGGCTGAGAGATAACCAACTTTTCAAGGGTCTTATGGAACCTCTGAATAATGTGTTTCTGGGGCATTTTTTATAGCATTTTAAGTATTTTTAAGAAAATGTTACATTGTCTTTGCCTCCTAAATTTTTGGCTGAATGTTTGTTGCCTCTGGCCAACCTTTACATACTTCTTAGTTTATTTTGTTTATATAGTTTTTTAACCTATTATTATTATAAGTTTTCTGTATCGACGCCTTTGACTTTTTGATAGCCCTGTGTCAACTGTATTTGGGGTTTTTTTTAGCATTTATGCTACATTTTCTGCTAATGTAACTACAGTATTTTTACAAAGCATATTGTAGTTAAGTGTTTGGTCCATAATTAAAAGCTGTCCCTCTGGACTCCCATAGATAACAATTCTAACTCTCTGACCTTTAGTTCAACCTCTGGCATCATCAACCAGCCACCCATGCCAAAACACTTAAGCTGCTGTTTCAAACACACACTCACTGGTGTGTAGGTTCACACCATGCATATGAATGGGTGGATTATTACTGGGGGAACTGATAAAGCCTGATGTAATGTAATAAAGTGCACAGTTAGGCTCATGAATATTGGCACGCGGCAGCAGCAGCGGAGCCAGACTGTGCCGCCTTTGTCAGAGGGATGAAATGAAACCCGGGCCTTTGTGTTTGAATGGAGAAATCATACAGTAAAAGTCAAGACTCCATTAATAAATACAACACAACTCTTATCAGATGTCTATCCTTTGTTCAATTTCAGATAAGTCATATTGACGTGTTTATTTTAAACCTGTTTCACTGCAATGCACTGATCAGCACAAGTGAGAAGGCTCATAGAGAGAGAGAGAGAGGTGTCATTGAGAATTATTGATAAAAGTTTATAAGTAAGAGTATAAAGAAATCGGAGGTAACAGAGTGAGAGGAAAACCACTGCTCCAACTGCAGGAGTGTGGCCCTGAGTGTGGGCCACAGTGTCCTATGGATTTGGACTGATGTCCAGAAATTAAGAACTTCAATCCTGTTCCTTTTCTGCTGATTCAAGTCATGGCCCTGACTGACAGTGACAACAATACTACTACTACTACTACTACTACTACTACTACTACTACTACTACTACTACTACTACTACTACTACTACTACTACTACTACTACTTGTCCACCATGTCTGACAAAATAAACAAATACATTAAAATGTCAGAGTGTGCAATAACCCAATGATATATATATCTAAAATACAGATTACAATATTTTACTGGCTTAAATATAAATTGTACAAATACTTTATTTTAATATTTGTATTATACATGCATTACATTTGTGCTATTGTCTTTTTTATATTTAAAAGATATTTCTATTTTCATTGAGTCTATTCAGTCTATTGTTTATCCCTTTGTTTCTGCAAAACAATGGCAGTTTCTCCATTGTTGGATCACTTAGGTTCAATCTAGTCTAGTCTAATCTAATCTAATCCAATCAACAAGTTCCACTACTGCTACTTTTAAGACTACTACAACAGTGAATATAGTGGTAATCGCATTTGCATAACAACAGTAAATGTATCAGTTTGCTGGTTCAATTCCTGTGTGTTTCTGTATGTAGTTATTCTCCATTTTAGTTATCAGAGCAAACTCTTCATTTTCTTAACACACTTGAATGAAAACCTGTCCAGACTTTGCCACACTGGTTTTTGATCCAGCTTCTATTCTGTCCTCCATCCATCCATCCATTTTCATCCGCTTATCCGTTACCGGGTTGCGGGGGCAGCAGTCGCCACCCAAATCACATTGCACCGTACCAAACCTTCCTGCAGGTGGTGAGTCCACTGGAAGGTATTAACCGCCCTAACCGGGATTCGAACTTGCCCAGGAGGTGAACCCTGGGGTTCCACACCAATGACAGAGACATTGCCTCTGGGCCAAAGCGCCTCTATTCTGTCCTAAACTTCTTAAAAAACAACTAAAAGAGAATTTGAAAGGAACTCGGTTCCAGTTCTTAGACAAGCCAAGGGCACGTAGATTTGTTTTTTGTCTAGTTTTACAAAAGCTACACTGTATTTGAAAACGTTGTAGTCGAGACAGAAATCCTCAAAAGAGAAAATAGTGAATGTAATTCCTGGTTTATTTACTTTATCAACAACAAGTCTGAATCGGTCTTTGTAAACACATCCACTGGGAGAACCATGTGAGAAACCATCCAGGACTGAGAACAAACAACAAAGCATTAACACATTATTTCAGATTTGTTATTTACCCTCATGTTTTCCAGACAGAGTTGGCAAATAGCCAGCTCCTTTCATCTTTTCAAAGCGTTGAAAACAAAAAAAAAAACCACACAAATGAGAACTGTGTTTTTTCCCCTCTGCCATTTCTAATTTAACAAAGGTAAATTTGTTCTTTGATTTCTTAGACAGCAAGGTTTTGACATCTGTCATGAGTAAATCTAAGTAAATACGTTTCAAGTGTCAGCACGTCACTACACTAGAGAACAAACACCGACTTGATCAAATCTAGTTACAGCTGGCTCGGAGGATATGTGAGGAACAAAGACATTTTCACATGTTCCAGGAACATTGTCCACATTGATAGACTCACTCACTGTGCCAGTGTTTAAGTCTGAAAGCTTTACAAAAACGTACGCCTGGTGTTAAGTATAAACTAGTCTTCATTCTGACCTACACGAGCCTTGTTATTAGCCATGGTGTAAGCAGGATTCAGGAATTGAAGAAAGACGAACATGAAGATCTTCTTCAACAGCTCTGAATCTCGCTCTTTTTTTTGTTTGTTTTTATAGCCATCTACTGCCAACTAATGGAAGAATATTTAACTGTTCTGCCTGTCACCGTCACATAGACAAACAGACAAATTATGTGCAGTAAATAAACTATCGTTTTCAGACCAATTAGGTGAAATCTGATCACCTTCCATGGTACATCTGATGATGTCACGAGGCTTGGGCCACAGGGAATCACTGTCCAAAATGTGGGATGTCTCACTGTTTCTTGGACACACTAACATTTCTCAGGGAGGTGGACGGAGGTCACATGATGAAACTGTCAGCCATCATGTGTCTCCTGTCACCTGTCACAGGAAGACCCGGCACCTGTCTCTCTGACTGTAATGAGCCGCCCTGGTGGTGGTTCTGTTCTGCGTTAGTGTGTGTGTGCAGTTGTTTGTTCACAGCAGGCCTCCCTGCTGCACGTACTTCCAGGCAGTGGGATTAATGGCAGTTTTTTCCCCTCTCTTATCTCGGACAAACAGCTGTTCCAGAAACTGAAGAATCTGATGAGGCCTTATTCTGTGGAGTTCGAGTCACCGCTGGAGCTGTCAGCACAGGGTGAGTCGCAACGCAAACACACATGCAGGTCACACCAGGACACTAGGGACGTGACATACAAAATCTGATTCAGTTCAAAATTCTGGGAGGCTGCACTGTTGGACTGTCCTGACCGCCTTATGATATTATTCATTAAGAATTTAACAAATATTAATAACCATTTGGCTCTTTTTACATTATTTGAAGCTAATTTTTTTGGTATTTTTGATTATTTGTTTTGCTAACCTTAAACTATTTTTGACAGGTCAGTATGGTCGGTTACATAGTGTAGCAGTTAGTATGTCTGCCTTAGAAGCAGAGAGCAAAGAGTCCTGGGTTTGATTCCCACAGGAAACCTGTTAACAGTAGCTCTGCTGTTAACACAAGAAATTCCCAAATATTGGATCAATAAAGTTTTGGGTTTTTTTTTTTTTTTTTCAAATTACATACTGGACTTTTGTTTTTTTTGATCGTTTATAAAGATAAAGATTTTTTTTTTTTTTTACTGTGACTAACCATAATGTGATTTGTGAGATATGTTGACCACTTGGAATTTTTGATAACTTTTTCAATGCCATTAAGTTAGCCAGGGGCTAGCCTACTGGCCCCTATAAGGCTAAGGCCTTATCTAAATCATTCTCGGCTACATTTTATTTTTTCTTTAGCTAACATAGTGGAGATTTGGTTATATGTGTGCTATGGTAAACTTAAAGTGAACTTCTTCTGTTGCTTCTTTATGTATATCATAATATCTTTAACACAAAAACCTAGATGGACATTGAAGAGATCTATAAATGTGACTTCTTTTGACTTTCCACTAAAATCTGGATCAACAACTAAACTTTTTTTTTCTCCCTTTCATTCACCGAACAAGGCAAAGAGATGATTGAGATGTACTTTGACTTCCGTCTCTATCGCCTGTGGAAGACACGCCAGCATTCCAAACTCTTGGACTATGAGGATTTTTTGTGACAGCAGGATAAAGTGAGTGCAGCAGACAAGCTTCAGTGCCACGAGTAAACATGTCACAGCTGAACCACTGACTCAACGTCGCTCGACTCTAGTGCTCCATCCATTGGCTCAGTATAAAACCACCGTCATACCTGCTTTTATCCAGGAGGGGGCGTCCAGCCAGAAAGGAAAGGAAGGAACCTAAATTGTCCGGTGCCTCTTTTTCTTGTCATTTCCAGAGTTCAGACTTTCAAAAAGGCCTAAACTATGAAGGAAAAATGTGGGGGGAAAAAATAATATTTTCATCAGCTTTGTGTGTCTCAAGTGTGGACGTGATCAAACATGTACAAAAAGAAAAAAAAAACATTTTACTTCTGTTGCGAGGACAGCGTCTTCGGTGGCTCAAAAGTACTCCAGAAATCCTGCTGACATCATCCCGTCATGATGTGGTTCTGTGTTTTGATTGGAGACGAACACGTTATTCACACGCAATTGTGTGTATACATATAAGTATATATAAATATATATATATATATATATACCTTGACTATGTTAGCATAGCTTTAGTCATGCTAATAAGGCTAGAGGAGAGATTCCTGATGCATCATTTCTTTTTTTGACGTGAGTTCTTTGTCGTGCAGTTTCATGCGGTAATACTTTGGAATAACTCAGGTTTTAGCCATGACGTAACTCATCTGTTCTCGTCTCCTCTTCCCCGTTGTCTTCATCTCCATGGCTTGGAACTCATGTATTTGATATCGCTCTGGAACTTCGTCAGTTTCAGGAGTGGAGCTTTGCGTTTTGTTAGAAAAAAAACATTGGAAAAAAATTAAGTAAAGAAAAAGTACGGTGTGCTGGTTGCGTATGCATGTGTGTGTGAGTTAGTGTTTTTCATGTAAAACAAATGGTAAGCTGATGTGTGATGTGAATTTAATCTGCTTTTTGTAGAAGCCCATTTCTGAGAAAGCAAAAACGAAAAGAAAGTCACAATCGTGAAAAAAAGAGTTCAAACTACAGATTTTAATTCTAAGATAATATCCTATTTTTAATTGATCTCATGAATATGACATAGTCTGGTTTTTTATCTCCAACATATTTCAAAATATTCTTTTTAAATTTTTAAAAAACATCTCTGTGTTTTGTTATGTCACAATTGTTTTTGTCTTTTGATTTTAAATATTTTTATCTTTAATCTGATAAATAACATTTTAGAACAGCTGTAATTATAACTTTTCATATCATTTTTATTATTTCATTGGATTAGAGCAACCTTTAAGTTCATACATTTATTTATTGATATAAATTATTGACTAGTTATTTCAACTTCTTTTTTGTTTTATTTGTCTTATCTCCATGTTCATCCTAACTCCTTGATTACCTAATTATTCTTCTAATTCTTATAATTATTAACTTCAACAAAAAAACACTTACTTTCTATTTGGCATTTTTAAAAATGTCATTTTATTCCACTTTGCAATTTTTTTAATCTAACAACTGCGTCTTTGGTCACTTGTGGTTACGTACACTAACTCTAACTCTGAACATGGAAATGTGCTTCTAACTCGTTTTTTTTTTTTTTTTGGTGAAAACAGAACCATCATCTCCATCCTCCACAATTATCCTCTCACAAACACTTGAAAATTACTCACAGCATTGAGAGGGATGTAACAGCCATCACTGCTCCTCACCCCATAGTTTAGGCGCTGCCCCCTGTTGACCACTCCGGACAGTTCAGGACTCGTCCACTCTGCCAAACACACTTGGCTTCTGAAAAACATACATAAAAACAGCAGCCCTAAAAACTGCTGCTGCCTTCGTCTACATCCCACCTGGGCTGTGATCCAGTCTGAGGAGCTGAGGTCACACCAGTCTGCCAGAAGTTGGAGGCTGTTAAAAGCCATCTGCTTCTCCGGGGCCAGGAGTCAGCAACTTTAAAAGGGACAAAAATATCAATGTGCGTCTTCAACATCGCACGAGCAAAGTTAAAATGTTCACATGAACTGACAAAGTCAAACACCTACACTGGAAGTCAACGTAAAAGTGAATACGATTTTTTTGGCCAACTTATTTATATAATTTGGAAAAAATCTTAAAAAAGATGATGTTGGGTAAAAACGCTAGGGGGCAATAGAGAGTAGAAGAGCAGGTACAGGTTCCAAAGCTGCAAAAAGAACAAATGGTTAGTTCCTTAAAAAAAATCAAATCCACATTACTACTGATAAGTAAAAGAAATGTCGAAGGTTGCCTCGTCATTACGAATTCAATTCTCAGTTTGATGTCAAATTTTAAAATAGCAGCAGTTTTTTTTCTGATATTGATTTTTTAAAATACGAAACAACAACACAAAAAATGCCTTCAGCTAATGTTATGTTTTGTAAGGAACGCAGGTCAAAATTTAGCCCAGGATGTTTTAAGCAACTTTAGCTGTATTTGGGTAGCTTGGGTATTTTTTCCTTTTTTTTTTTTTGTCCTTCCTGCATTTTAAACCATTTAAACTGTTGCTATTGCTAGCTTGTAGCTAATCCCAAGTTATGTTTAAGTTACATTCGCTAATGTTTCTGTCTGCTTCAGTGCTAACATCTGTTTAGATTTTGGTATGGTTTGCCATCATCGGCCATATTGTTGTTATTTTTGCAGTATTTGCTAACATGTACTGTATATCTCTGAGCTAACATTTTGGCTAACTGTAGACCCAGTGATTTTACAGTATAGCTTCAATTCTTAATTCTTCCCCCTGTTTATTAGATTCAAATTACATATTTAAAAAAGACACATTTTTAAATTAAATTAGGTCTAAAAGAGTTTCCTAAACATCAGATTGATTAAGTTTGAGGCTCAGTTATAGACTTAGGAGTCAAGGCAGTTTGACCGCATGTATTTTCACATGATCAAATCTGAGACCACTGACTCAAAACCAACATTACTGAGGTCATGTAGAGAGGAGACAACGTATTTGGAAGTGAAAAAAAGAAAGGAATAAATTACTTTTTAATTAAAACAGAAATTTAAATCTTGCATAATTTATGCAGCCGTCACTGCCTACGGTGACAGATTTTTTGAGCCATGAGTTTCAAAGCTTTGGTTTCCTCACATCTGTGTTTGATTATTTGAAAACCAAATTATTTGAGAACTCATGGAACCAAAAACCTCTGACAGAATAACAACAATTGACTTTTTCATCCCACAACGGGAAAATTTACAGGGTGAGTCTTTGTAATCGACACAGGAGGAATATGTGGTTCTTTGCTCTCCGCTTGCAAAGCAGGCGTGCTACCACTGCCCTTTGGAACTACAGAAATTGACTGTGTGTGCAACCAACACAGGCTAAATCAAGCGCTAGAATCTTGCGTTTCTTAAACTTGTCTGTTCTGGCCATTAACATATGACAGAACTTTAGTGTCCAAAGGTGATCCACCAACAAACTCTAAACTAAAATGGTGTTAAATAAGAAATAACAATGAAAAACATTCAATTAAATGTAGGGATGTCTGATAATATCGGCCAATATTAGCTTAATTAAAACTACAAAAATCTAAAAGCAGAGTTCCAGTTTGTGACTGTTTGATGAAGAGTTTGACATCAAGTTGTGGTGTTTAAGGTTGATTACGGGGGGAAAAAATGTTTTCCCTATTTTGCATTTGTTCATTTTGTTAATTGTAATTAGCAAATTCTTTCTATTTTTTTATGTTAATGATGTTTTGTGAGGGGTTACAGCATCTCCTCTGCCAGCAGATGGCACCCTAGGTGACTACCTATGTGGCCTATTCTGCGTTATTATCTCTGGTGTGGGTGTGAGTGGGGTGACACACACATGATATCATGCAGTATATAATTTAATTTGACATATTTAATATAAATATCATTATTATTTTTGTTAGGGCACTTTCATTTTGGGACTTTTGTGTTTTTCCTTTAAGTGCAGCCTCTGTTTGGTGACAGCTTTAGAGCCCTCTGCTGGCTCATTCTGCACATCATTAACAACAATTTACAAAGTAGTAATGATTAAATCCATTTAGTTTGAGTTCTGACGGCCGTGAGAAAAGAACTGAGACCCAGAAGTGTACCATGGGATTGTTTTTCAAAATAAAATACCATGAAAACTGATATTAATTTTGAAAAAAAAATCAACTTAACTAAAATATAAATGATCCACAGCCCGGTCCCCGGCCCAATGATTGAGCACCTCTTGCCAGCTCGAACGAATAACAACAATATCATTTATCTTTGCATTTCCCCAAGACACAAAGATCACATTTTGTGGCCCAGCTTCTTCATCGAACTGTAAACACCGACACTTTCCCAAGCTTAGTGATCAAAACGTACGATTCTCGTCACTTGACACGTTTTACTGCAGTCGTCCCAGAGTTCCCTGCTTCTGCTTATTCCAAATTTAAACTCATAGATGATCTTTCCATCCAACATTATTTGTGTTGATTAATTATGTGCAGTGTTAACTGCACAATATTTTAATAATAAAATAGTGATTAAAAAAATGATTTTTTTTTGGAAGAGATTTTTTTTGTTTTGTTTTACTTGATTCTGTCCTCTAACTGACATTGCAGTCCTGGCCCTCAGACAAGTGCTCTCTCTCTCTCTCTCTCTCTCTCCCTCCCTCTCTCAGCCTGAGTCAGGCATCACGTGACACGTTCAGCGTTAAAAATTCCACAGCGACAAGCCATCACACCAAATGAGCCATTTTTTTAATTCCAGCAGAAGCATTAAGCTGCCAAAGTCTTAAAGATGCTGCCCTGGACACGGCTGCTGGGTGGAACGGAGTAGTTTTTTTGAATTGCTATAATTTTCAAATCAGACAAATGGAGACTGAAACGACGGAACGGATTCTCTCAATTTTCAGGAAGTTCTACATAGGAAAGTGAAACCATATTCCCTGTGCCATAGAAAACAGAAGAATCAAACAGACAAACATTGTGTATTAGAAAATTAGAAAATGACTTCTTTATTTGTGGGAGTTTTTCTGGGCTGAAATGACCAGGATGTAGAGAACAGCCTGACTCAGGAGTTTGAGAGAGCTTTATTGTTTTTCTCTTCACCCAAAATCTAATTAAAGATGCAAATGTGTACTGTTGTCTGTGGTCGTCTCCGGTCGTTTCTTTCACTTATTCAAAGTTCTACAAAGAGTCTCTCTCTCCACTCAGAAAATTAAAATAAATAAATAAATAAATAAAAACCATAATTTAACTCTCTCCTGCGTTCTACCATGGGGAAATTTACAGTGTGAGCAACAAAGCTGCCACAGGAGGCGCTACTAAGTGTACCACTTAGTGGTTCCCGTCTAAAAAAAAGTATATATTTCTTTATCTTTTCTTCTTCTTCTTTGTCTTGTTTCCCTTGAAAATAGATTTTATTTTCAGTCTTTCTCATCATCTTTTTGTTAGTCATCTTTTTCTTTTTTCTTCTTCCACTTCAACTTTTCCATTTTCTCCCCGTCTTCTTTTTTGTCTACTCTATTTTTACTTCTCGTTTCTTCTTCTGCTTCTCCAATTTCATCTTCATAATTCTCTCTTCGTTGTCCTCATCCTCCTTCGTTTAGTTGTCACTTCTTCATCTTTTGATTTCTCTTGGTAGCTGAGAAGCCACGGCTAAAAAAAGCTAGCATGGCTGTGAACAGGCCCAGAAGGTGGGGGCGTGGTTTCACATGGAAAAGACGACCGACCGTTCACACTCACATTCACACTAGTCGTCAACTATTGACCTAACGCTGCATGTCATGGCCTGGTGCAGGAGAAAACCCAAATACACACAGAGGAGAATAGGCGAACTCCTGACTGATCAAACCGATGACCTCTTTGTTGTAAGGCAAGAGCACTCACCACCCCACCACCATTTGAAACCAGATTCAAAGATGTATTTGATCCTGCTTTTGTTTGCTCAGAGTTGGACTGAAAGTGTTTTGAGACTCACCCCACAGCGTCTGTCAGCATCACTGGAGGACCAATCAGATCGCAGGATCCACCTAAAGTGTGTCACACATCAGAAAACTCACAGGTCAGAACAATGCTGGGGGTTTCAACACCAACTATATCTGTCGGGGCGGGTGCAACGTTTTTTAGACAGACACCTTGGGGTCAGAACAGTCAAATTAAATGAAATACAAATTACTCATGGGCCAGACTGGAAGGCTCAGCGGGCCAGAATCGGCCTGCAGGCCGTCAGTTGGTGATCACTGACTTAATACATTTGTACTAATGTGAATGTTACTAATAGAAATTTGAAATGTCCATATTGCTACCTTCCAGTGGACCACCTGCAGGAAGGTTCGGGGGGTTGGTATGGTACAGTGTGACGGTAACAGATAAGCGGACCAAAATGGATGGATTGATGGATGGAAATGTCCATATTTTGTATCTGAACGAAAAACACAGGAAAAAAAACATTCAACTTCATTATTTGGTCTTTCAGAGACATGAAAAAACACAGATAAGGCAGCGCTGACACTCAGGGAGAGAGGATTTTTATCTCCCAGCTCCAGAAACACCTTGATCTCCTCCATCCACTCTGGAAGATTTAATATTCCCTTCACACACCATGTACACACAGCCAAAGCCAACCCTGACCTGAGAAAATGCACACCAATATGTACCAGGACTTATGGCTGTGTAAGCAAGTGTCCCCCCCCTGTAGGTGGAAAAATATATTTTATCTTAAAACATCTCAGAGTCTTTCAAGATCAGAAGACACCTTTACATCATCTGAACACCTTCAGGCTTCTAAGGACACGGAAGATGAAGGGAAACATCAGCGTGGAAATGGACGGAAACCACAAGCACACGCAGACCCTCACAAACCAATGTGCTCCAGTGACAGTACAGCATGGACATTAGAGGTACAGTTCTGTGTGTACTTCAGTATTGACATTACGGTTCAGTAAAAAAATGTCATACATATACATACATGTATTTAAATATATATGTATGTGTATATGATACACAGTGACACTGATATGTTTCAGTCATTTAGCTGCTGCTCCTGATGAGACACACACATAGCCCCCATTAACCCTACGAGGCTACTGCTAACTGCTAATTATTGTCATTGTAATACCACCGCTGGACACAACTGAATGACTGAAATGAGCAGCGATGAGGTCACAGTTGTGTTCAGGGGAAGTTGGACTTTGTCCCGCCCTACATTACCATGGTTTATATATATAAATATATTCATATACAATATACTGTATATACATTTTTTTTAATTCTTAGTTATTCTGAGTTAAAACGTTGGGCTGGAGTCTAGTTGACAGAGTATAGCCCACATGACTTTTAGTTAGCTTTCCACCTTTAGTGATATCCTCGGTTCTTTTTTGGCTTTTTTAAAAATTGGTGTGCTTTTCCCTAAACTGTATTTTCTCTTAGTACCTACAGAGTTAACGCCAAGCTCATTGTAGAACCATTGCTCAGATTATTTTTACTAGCATATGGGGTCCCCAACCCCTGATCTATACAGTCTTCCAGTTACAAACGTCCCTTCAAGGGGAACTGTATTGCTGATGTGGCCCCCGGTGAAAATGAGTTTGACACCCCTGGTCTGGTGGGTCAAAGAAATCCTCACTCATTCTGGTCCGATCTGGCTAGCGTTAGCAAAACACTAAAGTATTGCTATTAAAAATATTGAGACTCTGCAGTTAGCTTTGAAAGTGCTGCTTGTAATACAAGCATTTTGTTTCATTCCTCCTCATCAATGAAACATTTGCAATAAATCCAATTTGTATATATACCCTTGTTTCAAATGCTATATTTCTGCAGTAGTTTTTAGACAGACACCTTGGGGTCAGAACAGTCAAATTAAATGAAATACAAATTACTCATGGGCCAGACTGGAAGGCTCAGCGGGCCAGAATCGGCCTGCAGGCCGTCAGTTGGTGATCACTGACTTAATACATTTGTACTAATGTGAATGTTACTAATAGAAATTTGAAATGTCCATATTGCTACCTTCCAGTGGACCACCTGCAGGAAGGTTCGGGGGGTTGGTATGGTACAGTGTGACGGTAACGGATAAGCGGACCAAAATGGATGGATTGATGGATGGAAATGTCCATATTTGGTATCTGAACGAAAAACACGGGAAAAAAAACATTCAACTTCATTATTTGGTCTTTCAGAGACATGAAAAAACACAGATAAGGCAGCGCTGACACTCAGGGAGAGAGGATTTTTATCTCCCAGCTCCAGAAACACCTTGATCTCCTCCATCCACTCTGGAAGATTTAATATTCCCTTCACACACCATGTACACACAGCCAAAGCCAACCCTGACCTGAGAAAATGCACACCAATATGTACCAGGACTTATGGCTGTGTAAGCAAGTGTCCCCCCCCTGTAGGTGGAAAAATATATTTTATCTTAAAACATCTCAGAGTCTTTCAAGATCAGAAGACACCTTTACATCATCTGAACACCTTCAGGCTTCTAAGGACACGGAAGATGAAGGGAAACATCAGCGTGGAAATGGACGGAAACCACAAGCACACGCAGACCCTCACAAACCAATGTGCTCCAGTGACAGTACAGCATGGACATTAGAGGTACAGTTCTGTGTGTACTTCAGTATTGACATTACGGTTCAGTAAAAAAATGTCATACATATACATACATGTATTTAAATATATATGTATGTGTATATGATACACAGTGACACTGATATGTTTCAGTCATTTAGCTGCTGCTCCTGATGAGACACACACATAGCCCCCATTAACCCTACGAGGCTACTGCTAACTGCTAATTATTGTCATTGTAATACCACCGCTGGACACAACTGAATGACTGAAATGAGCAGCGATGAGGTCACAGTTGTGTTCAGGGGAAGTTGGACTTTGTCCCGCCCTACATTACCATGGTTTATATATATAAATATATTCATATACAATATACTGTATATACATTTTTTTTAATTCTTAGTTATTCTGAGTTAAAACGTTGGGCTGGAGTCTAGTTGACAGAGTATAGCCCACATGACTTTTAGTTAGCTTTCCACCTTTAGTGATATCCTCGGTTCTTTTTTGGCTTTTTTAAAAATTGGTGTGCTTTTCCCTAAACTGTATTTTCTCTTAGTACCTACAGAGTTAACGCCAAGCTCATTGTAGAACCATTGCTCAGATTATTTTTACTAGCATATGGGGTCCCCAACCCCTGATCTATACAGTCTTCCAGTTACAAACGTCCCTTCAAGGGGAACTGTATTGCTGATGTGGCCCCCGGTGAAAATGAGTTTGACACCCCTGGTCTGGTGGGTCAAAGAAATCCTCACTCATTCTGGTCCGATCTGGCTAGCGTTAGCAAAACACTAAAGTATTGCTATTAAAAATATTGAGACTCTGCAGTTAGCTTTGAAAGTGCTGCTTGTAATACAAGCATTTTGTTTCATTCCTCCTCATCAATGAAACATTTGCAATAAATCCAATTTGTATATATACCCTTGTTTCAAATGCTATATTTCTGCAGTAGCCAAAAATAGACCCCCACATCTGTAAAGACTGGCATGAAATCAACATGAAAACTGTGCCTCAAACTTCATTCATATCATTCTTCTCCATAGAGCAGAGCAAACACTGCAGACAATGTGATAATTAAATCACTGGAGGCAACAGGGACACCTAGTGGGAGCTTAATGACTTGAGTGAAAGATGCTGCACATTTTACACAGTACAGCTGACATTTAAAATCTAGGCTGTAGCTCCAGCACAGAAGATGCTGAGGAGCAAAAATGAAATTGCTCTCCAGCGCTGTGGGCTACAGAGTGTGTCTACATCCATTATGGGGACCACAGTCTGGTCATACATCAGCAAGGACATGTGGGATAAGGGCAAACACAACATGTAGCAGCAGAAAGTAAACACACAGAGCTGTTTCTGCATGGACCGCAGTGTAACAATGGAAATAACTGGGTCACAGCACTGACTCCACTCAGTGGAGACATGCTGCCGGTATTTACAAATGGTTGGATATAAGAATATGATCGCTTTGGGTTATAAAAAAATATTACTATTAAACAATAGTTCTCAAAATATGGGACATGTACCACTGGTGGTACTAGGACTCCCCCTAGTGGTGTGCAAGGGTTTTTGGTATTTGCGCTTTGTTTGTGTTTTCACAGTGTGGCCAGATGTCCCCGCGAAAAGTATCTACACATCTCCTAGACCAGGAGTGACCAACCAGTCAAGAGGCTAGGAGCCACAATTCTTACTGTGTTACTGCAAAGAGCCACATGATCTACATGGGCACACATGAACGGCCCCATCCCTTCACAAAAACGAAATACAATTGGACAAATTTTCAGGAATGAGCCGAACCGATCTGATACCTTAGCCCACACGCTCAACTTAACTTCAACCTTTTATTCCCGCCACAGCACAATTAAAATGATCTTTGGATAAAGGGCATAACTTCAGATACAACACTGCCACAGAGTGGTGACATGAGGCACTACAAACATGTGCAAACAATGCAGAATAAAAAGAGAATAGAGAATAAATAACCATTCTGAACTTCAGTCCTTCAGTTGTTGACAGGAATCTAAGTCGCACGTACCTAAAAAATGACAACATTCTGTTCCTTATGTGCCTTTGAAAACCTTGAAAGTTCAGTTTCTAATCCTATAAAGTACTACACCAGGGGTCACCAACCAAATTTGATCATTTATTATTTGATGTTGGAATCTGGTCAACTGGTGACCTATGGGCTGAATCTGCCCCACCGGACCGTCCAATCTGGCCCACGAGCCACCAGTTGGTGATCACTGTACTACTGCACACTGAAAACGACTTTAAAGTTTCAGTCCTGTATGAGGTTGTAGCTACACATCATTTCTAGGTCGTAGCCACATCTTCAACCCTGAGATCCTATCTTTATACACTTGTCCTACAATTTAAAAACTGAAGTCCACTTTTTGTCCCTTTTACTTCAAACTCGCCTTGAGGACATTTTTTTAACCGTATGCACACACAGAGACCTTAATTTCAAAAGTGCAGTGGTGGCAGCGACTTGATTTAGTAACATACCCTTCAAACAGCAGGAAGTGAGCAGGCGAGGGAGGAAATGGGGAGAATGGAGAAATATCTGAACCAGAACCTCTTGTCTAGAAGGTTGAACTTTTTTTTTCATCGATTGTTCTGTGTTTTTGTCAGCAGGTAAACAATAAAACAGCTGTGACCAGTGAGGCTACACACTCTGATACTATCAGCGTTTTTCATTTGCTAACGTTGGGGTTTTATGGGCCCTGGTGGGGGCAGCACACACCTGCACCAGCACCTGGAAAAGCCTGTGAACTGCATTTATTCCCTGTAAGATATGATGATCATTACATTATTCTGCTGCTGATCTAATCTGTGATTGGCTGGAGCCCAGGAGACTAGCTCCAGGTCTGGACCTGTCTGTCCGTTTGTGCTGATGGTTTGAGTTTAGGCTGCAGCCAGTGTTCTGTGTGAGTATTGGTTCTCCTCCATCTGTCAGTCGGCCTGTGTCACATGGCTTTTTCTTATGGCCTTGCACAAAATATACAATGATTCTGAACCTCCTTATAAATATAAAATAAAATAATGATTTTTTTAAATATTTCATTATTTTATTTTATATTTACCGTAAAAGAAGGTTCAGAAACATTGTTTTTTTTTTCACTTTACAAATACACAAGAATCTGGAAATATCTCTTCACCCTAAACTCTTTATGCGTCAATGCTACATAAACGATTAATAATAT